GTTTCCACTTTGTCCACTCGCGTTCCTCTCTTTAGGCCCGTTTGGTCTCCCTCTCATCAAAACTTTGCATTTCTTCAGTCGATACACCGTGGCCATCGCGAAACACGCTGCTCTCCCCAATCCACCGCCACTCGTCCAGTTTTGCCTTGGGGTCGGCTGCCCCACAGCGGCTACCGATATAAGCAGAATGACACTGCGGAACAAGAGAGACTAGAATGGTCATTTCTGGCTTATAAGCTGTTATCAGCCAGCCGTACTCAACCCCAGGTGTTACGGCACCCAAGCTCGAACCCACGACTAGTTGAGTCCTGTAAACGACCGGTGAACGCCCATCTACCATTGTGTACATTTCCAATCGAAAACGACATAATGATCCAGACTTCTGTTGCTTGTTCAAGGCAGGGGAATATGGCTATCAAAGACCTTCTGCAACTAACGTTTCGTCTGGCGTGCGACAACCATGCATTCTGGCTACCCACTTCATCGACCGGATTGGCTGAATGACCCCTATGCCGTTTTAAAGGTGTAGAAGTTGCACCCGGGCGCCAAATAACGGTTGCTTTTATAACTCACAAAACGTACTGCCAAGGGCGAAGGACGTCGCCGAATTAGTCCATTTACCAATAAATACTGGGAAGACTAATGCTTTTTGAGAAGCACTACTTGCCACGGGAAGGCATCCTTTAGAGTTAACGATGGTCAGCTTGGAGAAGGGGAAGGTTTAGGGATGCGGTTATCGTCAGATGGACAACAACCCCCCTGAATCAATAACTTTGGCAACCTTCATAACTGAACATGGGCGTCACGAGATAACTTGACCGTCGCAATATGCCGCGTGTAGCGGGAATCTATCCTATCCATATAATTGTGCGATTACGAATTCTAGGCCGTGTGAAGTGCATTGGCTTATGTTCGAATGAGCCAGAAGCAAACGCTTTGAAGTCACCGTTGTCATCTTAAGAGCTATGCTGATTTTTGGCGGCACTGCCTTCGTTCTTTGGAATTTGTCTTGTCTTCGAGTCATCTAATTGATGATTATTACACAGAAACAGCGCACGATTTCTCAGTGTCAAATGGCTTTTTTGTCACACCGGCTTCGACAGACCGTAGAAGATATATGTTCGCAGTCAAACAGTCCCGAGAAAGCAACAGTGCAACTTAGGCATCTACTGAAATCCTCACAGACAAAACCAGACGAGGCCATCCTTCGGTAACAAGAGGAAAAAAACCCATTAAGTTCTCTGGATCAGATTGTTTACTTTCGATATTGGTGCTTTAAAACAAAAACAGGACAGATGTCAGAGTGATGTCAAAAAGTCTTCGACAGAGGGCCATTGGCAAGAGGATAAAATGAACTTTCTGCATTGTCGACGAGATGGGATGGAAAACAATGTTATCGTTAAAAGGTTATAACATAACATTATCGAGTCGTGCAGTCACAGTAAGACTAGAGGTTGTTAGTGCGGAAAAGATGCGACTAGATGAGAAGAAGAACATGGACCTGGCGTGATGACCCTGCAGCTGACACAAGTTGAACCGAGCTCTAGGAGAGGGTTAGGACTGACTTGAAGATTTGGGACGTTTCCATCACGTGCATAGACTTGCGACCGGTAGCGGTGGAGGAGCTTGGGGGTCGGCCGGCATAGCTGGCAGGGGGAGGGGGAGAGAAAAGTGACTACATGAGAGAACACTGGGAGAGAGGGAATATTGACTAGGATTTTTTCTACAGAAATAGCGGTCAGGGAGAAAATGAGTAAGCTAGTGAAACACAAAGGCCTGCCAGGGGCGGACTGAATAAATCAATTCAGTACGAAAACAAACCGCATCTACGCAAAGTACGCTTGACAGCGGCAGTTCCAATGCGGTGTCAACGCTTAATTAACGATGGTCATATAAGGACACCAGTGGCATATTATAAGCCAGTCTATCTACCTAACATTACATGCATTATCTGCATCACGGGCCGGGGTGCCTAGGAGAGTCTACACTCAACGTCCTCCTGCCTATATCCTAGCCGCCTCATGGTGGAGGCTCGAGTGACAGCTCTAATGGCAACAATGACGGACGAGTGCGTCCTCCAACAGATCGGTGTACGCGTATCTGCTACTGTGCGTCCCCGATCTAACACCGGCAGGACTGCGAGCTCATAGCTCAATAGTTAGGACGTTTGCCTCTGACCGGAGAGAGAGACGCGAGTTCGAAACTCGAGTGTGGCAGCAATTTAAGCGGTAACACTGGATTTGAGTATCGCTAGCTAACGACGGCTAATGAACCAGAAATGGCCTATATCCTAGCCACCTCGTGGTGGAGGCTCGAGTGAGAGCTCTAGTGGCAACACTGACGGACGAATGTGTCCTCTAACACATCGGTGTACGCGTATCTGCTACTACACTCAATATAATATAGCCTACTTGCGTCTACTCAGTAGCTCGATTCACACCTCTTTTTCAATTTATTCATCGCGCGATCCGCGCAGTAGCCCGGCTTACACCTTTCTTCTTTGATTATTTGCCGCGCACAGGTAGCCTCCAACCAAACAGCCTCCTGACGACTGCTTCAGCAGAATTTGAAAGGGTCCATTTTTCGCCAAATTTCCACTCTATTTCAGCCCCCCAATGAGGGTCCTCGTAGCTCAGATGATTAGAGCCTTGGCGTTACTAAACCCGTTCATTTGTTGGCGTGGTTTTGAATCCCACGAAGTATTTTTCACACGTGGGTCAAATTAATTAAATCCGTCAAAAATTTCCACATACTAACAAATTTATATGATTTTGGAGTGCACTCGGGTGACCAGACAGTTTCCGGAGGAGCAATAAAGTTAGCTAATAAGTTCAGACTGCCGTTTGTGAGTCATACCTCGTGAAGGCTCTACATCCATATACTTACATTATAGTCCTTAACCACAGCTTGGCTTCAGAAGTCAAACTATGGTAGAACCAAATCCGTGAAATTAACACAATATTACTGATAACTTTCCTAGACGCCAAGCTGATATAGCTTAAAGCCAGGGTCTGCCAAACATGTTGAGTTTTCTGCAAACTACTTGTAATTCGAAAAAAGAACATCATGTGGAGAATTCCTCACACGAACGGTGACAAGCACGACTCTGTGTCTATCGCTCAAACCACAAATGCAGTCTGGTGTCGGCGAGGGCTACCGCCGATCATAAGACAAGAGAAAAAACAACAGTCGGCAACAAACATACATAAGCTTCTGGTGAGTACGGTCGGGCAGGAGACGGCGAATTAGATGTTCAAGTCTCGGGCGGATGTAGGTCCATGCGCCCATGTTCTTGTGCTCCTCCTGGGCCCACTGGACGACGGCATTCGGATAGCGTTCAATGTCCTCCTTGATCAGATCGTAGGGCAACGGGGTAAGTTGCTCAATACGGCTAATTGCAATGTCTCGGGACATCTCTGAACTGTTCACCTGCTTCACAAGATCGTAGTACACCTGTGGGAGGGAAAGAAAAGCTGTAATCATTAGGAGGCAGCAGCAAAAAGGGGAAGATATTGCAGTGACACATCACAACCCACGAGGTCACGTGATTTCTCGGTCTGCCGCAATCCACGCGAACGCTTGCCTCGCGCGGCTGCTATCATGTGCGCATCCGCCATCTGGCCAATCACATTCGAGACTGATTAACACAAAGACCGCTCTGATGACTGCCACTCTTGGGTACAGACCTACACTCGTTCGAAAGTCAACTCTATCCAACCAATTATCCACTTCTTCTGTGCAGAATAAACTGCTTCCTCCATCTGGCGTCCCCCTTTGTTTTTCCTCTACAGAAACAGGACCTGGAGATCGCGGTGGCCAGAATTTTAGTAGTAAATTGTCGCTGCATCTATCGTACGGAATCAAGAGAGGAGTCGAAGTAAAGAAGACTTTTCGCAAGCCGCGAGAAGGCCATAGAAAAGAGGTCGTACTGCGTACCTCGCTCGTACCACAAAATAAAATAGAACAAGCGGTGAAGCAATGTCGCTGTCTGTGGTTACCCAGTCAGTTCTAATTGCTTTATTAGGAAAAAACCAAATTGCTGATCAATCACACCACGCAGGTGTGTTTTTAAAGACTGCAAAGCTATGTTCTGCGGGCGCGCGCCCACGCGCGCCATGGTTGACCTGACACCAGGGGAGCGCTAAAAGCAAGGACCAGCTTTCTGTCCAACAACTACAAAGACTATCGATTCATGCAAGGCAAGACTCCTTCTCCTCCATTTCTCCAGACAGCAACGACAACAACCCAGCCAGCCAGGCCAGCTGAATCGTTCGGTTAGACAACTGACAAAAAAAGAGGTTAACTTGCCTTGCCAGAGCAGAGAATGAGTTTCTTAACTTGCTCCGGATTTTCACTGGCGGGACCGCTATCCGGGATGTATGGTCGGAAGCTGGTGCCGGGCAGCATGTCGTCGAAAGAGGAGCGGGCCTCCGGCAGACGAAGCAGCGATTTCGGTGTGAAGACGCACAACTGTGGGGCGGGGGCGGGGTTGAGGAAAGAAAGGCAGAAAAACAACAGAAACAAGTCTAGATTTGCTGGTGAGGTGGGGAACACAGCAAGGCGTCTACGTTAATGAAAACAGAGGAGCCTAGGCGGAAGGATGCAAGTTCAAACATGTTGGATTCGAAAGAACGATTTCGAAAGGCCCAAATTAATCACAGAGACGCACCTAGATGGTCTGAATTGGCTCCCCATACCATCGGGCTAACAGTAGAAGCTGAAAAGGTCGATCACTTGGCAACAAATATGAAAAGTAG